CCGCCCCACCGTCCACTTGGAGCCGGCACCGAGGCAACTTTGACCGCGGCCGCGGGTCCCCAGTCTCGCTGCCCGGCGGCAGCAGTGGTCTCGCGGGTCGCCGGGGCGCATCCGCGCGGCGCCTGGCTCTTTGCAACCTGTTCCCAGCGCGCGGGGCGCGGGCGGGTGGCTGCCCGCCGTCTGGGGCGGGGGACGTGGTTTTCCTTCCCCCGGGAGACCTCGGCGCGCCCTGGAGCCAGCCGCCTGGAAGGATGTAAATAACAGCGCGATTGTTACCTGGAAGGCGACGGTCCCCGCGCGAGGAGAAGCGAGGGGCTGCGTCCCGGAGCGTGGTCCATTCACAGTCAGGTGTGAGTTGTAACTTTTCAAGGTCAGCCCTCCGGAGCAGCCGCTTCCTCCTCGGACCTTTGGGGGTACCGAGCGCTCGGGCTGGATTTGGCGAAGGACATGGCTCACGTGCGAGAACTGTAGGGAGGTGGCGACCCCAAGACCCGTCCGGTCACCTCCCCGTAGCCTCTACCACCTCCCCCGCCCGCCATCCCCCACCCCCCGGGCGGGGGTGAGGAGTGACATGTGTCTCACTCGCACCAGGAACTTGGGCTCCGGGTGTTGAGCCTGAGCGGTCGCCGCGCTGCCCGGGGCGCCCACGCCGAGCCATGCGGGTCCTGGGCGCGCCTCTCGCCGGCGCCGCGCGGCTGCTGCTCCTACTGCTACTCGAGGTCTCCCCGGCCGCTGCCCTGGGGGCCGCTCCGGAGCCGCCGAGGGAAACTTGTGTCGGGGAGTGCCCTGCTCGGACCCAGCGCCGCCGCAGGGACGTTTGGGGGACTGGGGATTCTGGCAAAGACGGTCTGCGAGCCGGTGCGCCCCGGCGGGAGGAGGAGCTGCAGGCGGCTGTGCGCGCGGTCCCCTCCAGTGACCTGTCGGCAGCCCCGGGCGGTGACCCAGGTGTGGCTAGAGGGGCGGAAGCGGAGCCAGCGACCACCGGGCCCGCGGGATCCCCGGCCGGGTGGCCGGGCGTTCGGAGGACCTGGAAGGGGGTCCAGGGCCAGGAAGCCCCTGGCGCGTTGGGCATGGGGCACCTCGTGCGCTCCCCGAAGACCCCAGAGAAGGAAGGGAAGGGTGTCAGGGGCGCTGGCTTTTCGGGGCACAGCCCAGATCAGAGGGTGGGGAGCGAACTCTTTTACCGGCCGAAGAGAGCCGGGAATCCCCAGGGCTCCCACGGCGAACCCCCACCCAAGTCTGCTAGTGGACCCGCGGGGCACGAAGGGCGGACCTTGGCACCTCCCGGCAGGGCGCTGGCCCAGAATGGATCTTCGGGTGAAGGGGTCCTGGATAGTGGCGGGCCCCGGCGAGGGAACAACACCAGCCGGCGTGTGCGACTCAAGAACCCCTTCTACCCGCTGACCCAGGAGTCCTATGGCGCCTACGCGGTCATGTGCTTGTCGGTGGTGATCTTTGGGACCGGCATCATTGGCAACCTGGCGGTGATGTGCATCGTGTGTCACAACTACTACATGAGGAGCATCTCAAACTCCCTCTTGGCCAACCTGGCCTTCTGGGACTTCCTCATCATCTTCTTCTGCCTTCCGCTTGTCATCTTCCATGAACTGACCAAGAAGTGGCTGCTAGAGGACTTCTCCTGCAAGATCGTGCCATATATTGAGGTATGCCTTTTTGGGGGGGATGGGGGAGCGTCTCTTGCACCATCCAGGCGCCACGGGTTTGGGATATTTTATGAAACTTCTACTGGGCGCACCGGTTTGCCTGAGCTGCTTCACTTTTTCTCTGGGCCCCTCCTGCATTTCTCTTTCCAATCACTTATGCCTCACCACCTACAAACTTATCTTCTACCCCCGCTCTTGGGGGTTGGGTGAGTCTCCATAACACATGGACTTGTTTGGATGCTAAAGTCTCACTCTCAGAATGTGATGTTATAGATACATCGGACAATCTAATGAGCCACTCAGCAAACAGACAAACAAATGGCTGTCAGTCCATTCTATTCCTAGGGACCCTGTAGGGCAGAGTAGGACGCCTCTGTGGGTTTGGGAGACTGACTGCCTTTAAGGAAGCAGAACGCCTCCTCTGTCTCCCACCAAGTGGATGGTGGGTTCAAACTGCTGACCTTGTTAGTCCCCTTCCCCCCAAAGCATAACTTTGTTTTTACTACCATGCTGGTGATGGGTACTCTAGAGTTAATTAATGGGTAGAGTTCAATGCTGTTCTTATCAGAGTCCAGCAAGGAAAGCATAACAAAACAAAAGAACTCTAGCATCTATCCTCACCTCCACAAGCTCTTTATTGACTTAAGCAATTGCGTAGATGTAGATGGCAGTTGCATTTTGTCCCCTTACTTTCTTAACTGCTAAAGTTAGAGTAATATTTTATTCACTTTCTTACAAAGAAACCTGCATTCCTTTGTCTGTTGGCTTCATGATGTATGACTGACCTCCACGTGCCTTTGGCTGGGTTCCATGCTGCTCCATCTAATGTCCTGTCATTTCTTGTTTCTCTCTCTACTCCATTTCTCAACCGTTTTTATTTATTTTTGCGTGCATGAATTCAACCTCAAATAAGACTTGGTCCATGAAGATACAGCAGGCTTATATCCGGGAAGTATAGTCTCCCCATTTGCCATTTGTTCATGGGTTGGAGGCGCTCTGGTGGGGCAGTGGTGAGGTGTTTGGCTGCCATCTGCATGGTTGCAGTTCAAATCCACCAGCAGCTCCTCAGGAGAAAGAACCCACAGGGGGTCAATGAGTCAGCATCAACTCTATGGCAGTGTTTGAGTTTTTGAATAGGTGGGGAGGATTGGTTGTCTTTGGGACTGACTCAACTGACTCAATGTGAGATGTGACAGAGTCCTAAACTTTGGGATAGAAAGCACTCTAAGTAAAATCATACCTTTCAGTGTTAGTGCCCGGACTATTACTGTGGTGGTTGGAATTTGCTCTTTAAATGGCCTCTCTTTAAACATCAGCTCTTGGAAGGAGCCCAAGTACTTCACTGCCAGTTGTGTTTCCAGCCAGCTGGCCCCTAGTTTTCTCCATTCAGATTCATTTATGGAAGCAGAAGAAGGGAAACTGTAAATATTCCAGAGCCCCTGATCCTGTCTGGCACCAGGGCCAGTGACACCATGCTCAACATTGTTCAGGGTCTAAAGCTAGGGGATAAGTAAATAGAAAACAGTACTAACTTAGATGGGCCCAGGCGGGAGATAGTAAATAAGTCCCTCTATAATCCTGACAAGGATCACATGCAGTAGCATTCCAGGCCTGCTAAATCAGCTGTCGCTAGTTTACCAGGGACCAGGCTTGCACCAGTTGCCAAGCAGGAAGTAGCTCTGAAACATCTAATATATTTGGTAGACAGTTCATTTTTGAATTGTAGAGGAGGTAGTTGGATTTATGTTAGAAACTTTGTGTCTGTTGACCGGTTGCCTTTTCAAGGTCAATTTCATCAAGAGTGCTCTGTTTGTTTGAATAGTGCAGAAGAAAGGGACTCTTGCAAGAGACAGACAGAAAGTAAAATCTATGAAGTGAGCAGGGGAGTTACCCCAATAAAAGAGATATGCATTGGTTGTGGGGACTGGAAACAGACCAGATATTTGGAAACTGCTATACATTGGACAGAGATAAATTAAAGGACAGGAAAAAAGAAACTGGGAATAGTAATTTTTTAAAAGCTCAAATTCCTTGAACGATAGCAAGCAGAGAAAAATCACACTCACTTTCAGAAAACATGAAAACTTTGGATAATTTAATGAACTCTGGTAATTTTGAGTGAGGGCATTTATTATGTTTGTGTTCTAGTTTTCTTTCTAACTTTATAAAAACATAAGTACTTCTTCTCATTTGTACTATACCTTATTTAAGTGATTTTCTACCTGAAAAAATTTTTTCATTATTTATTGTTGCTAAGCTCATTTTTCACTGTGTGCTTTTGTTTAACTGTCCCTCATCTTTACTGACCTTTATTTTTCAGTTATTGGTACCAGATATTATTTTTCTTGGAGAAACAAAGCCTTGGGAAAAAACATTCACTATTATTTTGAAAGATTAGATTGCCATCTATATTTCTACTGTTAAAATAATGAAGGCAATCTAAAGCTGCCATATTTCTATAGCTTTATCTAACCCTTAGGGACCCTGGTAGTATAGCAGTTATGCTTTGGGCTGCTAACTGCAAGGTCAGCAGTTCAAAAACCACCAGCCAATCCTTGGGAGAAAAATGGGTTTTTTTACTCTTGTAAAGAGTTACAGTCTTAGAGACTAATGGTGGCAGTTCTACCCTGTCCTACAGGATCATGATGAGAAGGTCAGTGTCAACTCGTTGACAGTGAGTTTGGTTTTGGTGTATCTAACCTTTAAGAAGTCCTGGGGGCATCATGGTTACTTGTTGGGCTGCTCACCACAGGGTTGGCAATTCGAAACCACCAGCCACGCTATGGGCGAAAGATGATGTTTTCTAGTCCCATAAAGAGTTACAATCTTGGAAATTCACAGTGGCAGTTTTATCCTGCTCTATAGAGTTGCTATGAGTTGGCATTGACTTGATGACAATGAGTCTAATCCTTACTTTGAAATAATTTTATAATTGTTATGTCTGTAGAATATAGTTGTTGGAGAATATTATCATTATCTACTGAAAACAAGCAATATGTCCCAAATCTCTAGGTGGTACTGTTACTTTCCTAGAAAGAAGAGGAAGTTGGTGCCTGCTCCAGGTTGGTTCAAAATGGAAACAAAACCAGGGGCTGAGATGGAGACTGGTTGTCAGGAAGTTTACTGGGGAGTGTCCTCGGGGTCAACATTTGTTGGGAAAGAAGGGCAGTAGGGTTGGGCAAAGAGAGGAGTGAAACTGTGACAAAGAGACAGCCAAGACCTCAGCAGATACAACAGAGCGCTGTGGGCACTGGGGTGGCTCAACCGAGATGTCCTGAAATGAGTCCAGGAACTGTTGTTCTTGGCTGCCATTGGGATCCTCCAGCCACGGAGACATTGATGATCTTTGATTTGTTTGAGCCCCTCGCGGTGACTATTGTGTGAATCCACCTCATGGAGGGTTTGTTTCCATTTTGCCAATCCTCTGCTTTACCAAACAGGGTGTACTTTCCGGCTATTAGTCTTTCCTGATGACATTCAAAGTAAGCAAGATGAAGTTTTGTCATCTACCCTTCTAAGGAGCAGCCCAGTTGCCTTGTTCTGTTAGACTAGTCATTGGCTGCTGGCTGGGTGGATCTCTTTGGTGAAGAACCTAAGAAGGGTATAGCTGGGAACTGCCAAGCACTAACGGTCCCAGCAGCTGGGGAGTGGGTGCTCCATTACTGATTGCTGAAGGACTTTGGGGTCGTGAATCATCTGGGTGGGGAGCCACAGTGATCACTACAGTGACTTTTGAGTAATACTGTTGAATTAATGTAAGACTGCATTAACTGTAGGCAGTATTTTTTGTAATAAATATCCTTAATTGAATTTAGAGCACTTTGTACGTTTTTTAAAATCATTTTATTGGGGGCTCCTACAGCTCGTGTCACCGTCCATCCATCCATCCATCCATCCATCCATCCATCCATCCATCCATCCATCCATC